ATTCAAATGATTTGGTAGCCAATTTTGTTGACTTGGTTTGGTTTGGTAGCCAATCTTGTTGAATTTGTATAATTTGGTAGCCAATTTAATTGACTTGGTTTGGTTTGGTAGCCAACCTTGTTGAAATTGTGAAAATGGTGTGTAAATTGTCAAATATTGTAGGCTTTAGAGAGTGAGGTTTTGGCTATAAAAGGAGAGCTTTAACTCTCATTTCTACACACCAACAAAGAGAGAAAAGAGAGCAAGGTATTCCATAAACTATAAGAAAATAGTTTGTGAAGAAAAATAGAGTGTGAGACATATTGTAGTGAGGTGGAAAAAAGCAAAAGAGTGTTTATTTCTTTTGAGGGTGTAGTGGTCTTAGGAGTATTTTTTACTCGTTACTACACAGTGTAAAATTCCTCGCTATAGTGATATCAGTTGCTCTTCTTGGCCGTGGTTTTTTCCCTTATTCAGAAGGGTTTCCACGTAAAATCTTGGTGTCATTATTGCTGCATTTTTATTCTTGCTGATTTAACCATAACTTAGTGTTCTGCGTTTATCACTAATACCGTGAATACTATTTTTACGGGGTTTATTCCCAACAGAAAGATGCTGTGGATACCTGTAACTGCAACACAATGTGCCCAACAGGCAGCCGCTTTTACTATTGAAACTTCATCAGGAAGGGGAAAAGGCTCCGGAATTTCCTTCAAAAGGTCAACATAAGAAATTGCAGGTTATTTGACGTGTCTCTAAGTAGTCAGTAAGCTGAGTAAACGAAGTTAGTGAAAGAATTACCCCATGTTTCCCTGATGTCACATAGCTTTGTCCTAAATCATCCGTTGAACCCCATGTAATGAGCTTCCCAGCATCTGATAGAGTAGTATAAAACGGCATAGTAATTGCAAATTAGGTAAGATAAGTAGCAGATAATTATCTGAAATCCACTTTTGAATTTAAAACTATGTACACAAAGAAGAAATTGTAAGTTCTGCCAGGAAGTAATGCATCAGAAGTTCACTGAAAACTAAAGTTTGGCATCCAATATGTTCTTAGTTGAAACCATCAGTTCCATGAAGTGATCCAAGCTTCCGTTTCAAAACTTACTTCTACTCAAAAACATCCATGACTAAGAGGGTGTTTTGGTAAGCCTATAACCAGTCGTCAACAAGTACTTTTTCGCTTATCTACTCATTTTTTAAACTCTAAAACTGTTTACTAGCAAGTGTTTATAAGCCAAAATCAGCCAAACGTCATAAGCAGGAACGTACAACTTATAACTTATGACTTTTCAACTTATAAGTACTTTTGAGCACCCCCTACGGGTGCGTTAGCTTTATAAAATTTGCATCCTGTTAGCTTCCAATAGGGAAGATCTCCCCTTAAATTTGGCTTCGGTTTCATAACACTAACAACCCGTGGTTTATGACCCTTGTCAAAAAAAAACTTATAAGTACTTTTGATTTGACCCAAATCTTTTACTATTTTACTCCTAGTAGTTTTTGTAATCCCCAAAATACTCTTTCCAAAGTAAAATACTCCTGACTCCCTCTACATTTTATTTTTGTCATTCATCCCTTTCAATGTAAAGATACTTTTAAATTATATTTTTTAAAAAAAAAATCAAATACATTTAAGTCATTTTAAAACACTCTTTCCAAAATAAAACACTCCTGACTCCCTCTACATTTCATTTTTGTCGTTCATCCCTTTCAATGTAAATATACTTTTAAATTATATTTTTTGAAGAAAATTCAAAGACATTTAAGCCATTTTAATTAGAAAAGTGTTTATCAGTATTTACCAAACACACCAACTACTTATTATCAGTTTCAACACTTCAATTCAAACACATAATTACTTATTTATAAAATCCTTTTAGCATTTAAAAGCACTAATCAGCACGTGATGATTATGATTGTGTATATGGACATAGAATCTTTAAGTTTTTTGAAATAAAACTTACACATTTAGAAATTACATTAAAAAAAATACTGTCGAAATTACATTAAAAAAAATACTGTCGAAGAACAACAACTTGGTTGACTGTCGAAATTCGAATACTATCACATAAATTGGGACGGAAAGAGTACTACTTTTAAGCAGCTAACCCAAACATATTCTAACTATAATGTCCTACTCACTCCTTCTCAATTTATGTAATGTTGTTTGACTGGACACAAAGTTTTTAAAACAAGTCATAAATATTTGTGTAACCGTAAAACAAAAAAGAACAAAGTTAAATTATTTATAAATATAGAAAAATATTATTCCCTCTATTTCAATTTAGATGACACATTTCGCTTATTGAGAGTCAATTTGACTAAACAAGCTAAATTGAATTAGCTTTATTCAATATTTAAAATTAAAATTAAGATATTCAAAATACGAGAAATACTATAAGTTGCAATTTTTCTCATATTAATATGATAAAAATATATTTTTTAAAATGTTGATCAAATTTTATACGGTTTGACTCTCGATAAGCAAAATATGTCAATCTAATTTGATACGGAGGGAGTATTATTGTTTTAGAACAGTCTAAAAAGTAAACAGTGTAACATAAGTCGGAAGCACATGCTCAGCTGCAAATGCAAAAGCAAAAACATAAAGCTACAGTAAACCTGTAATAAAACCCAAAAATGGACAGGAAATGCAGGAAGAGAGAGAGCACCTGAAATGGCCATAGCAAATCCACAGCCACCACCACAAACATCCTTCCATGAGTAATTTCCTGACTGTGGAACCCTAACAACAACAACTGGAGACAACAAAGGTGACCTCTGCGGCACAGCTCCTGGTAAATATCCCCACATATACACTATTTTCTCCTTTTCTACTACTTCCATTTTCACACTTCCTTCGCCTTCACTTCCATTCATTCCCACAACTACAGAAAAAAAAATAACAAAAATAGAGAAATAAATAAATAAAAGTTGAAAATAGAAAGAAAGTTTTTCTTCTCTCTTTTCGTTTTTCAGTTAAAGAGAATTTTGGAGCGCTGTGTTTGTTGTGTTTGGTTGGCGAAAATATTGTGAAAGGTGCCCTAAAGTTTTTAATTAGAGAGAGGGAGAATCAATTTCAGAGCCAATAAGGATGCCACGTCGGATGCTTATGTGGATTTATGTACACGTGGCGTTAGTTCGGCCGCTAGATTCTTCCGCCATTTACAGCCAGGAGTAGCCTCGAAGTTTCTGGAATTTCGGCCTTTAAATTAGACCTTCCGTAGACCATTGAGTGCTTGCTGCCGTGGTCTCACGTTTGTGCGCCACGTGTCTATTCTTTTCTTGGTCTTCAATCTTTACGTCTTAC